GGGGAGGGGGAGGTGAGCAGTGGCAGGTTGGTTTGCCCCGGGGAAAGCTTCCTGCCCTGCGCCCTCGAGCAGCGCGCCCGCGCGGACGTGTGCATACTTCGACGTATTGGTGCTTGTGCCTGTGCATACTTGACGTATTTGTGCTTGTGCGTGCAAACACTTGGATGTAGTTGTGCTTGTGCACGTGCACACTTGATATGTTTGTGTTTGTGCTTGTGCACGTGCACACTTGGATGTGTTTGTGCTTGTGCACGTGCACACTTGGATGTGTTTGTGCTTGTGTACATGCACACTTGGACGTGCTTGTGTGCACATACATTTGGATATGTTTTTGCTTCTGTGTGTGCACACATAGTGTGTGTACGTGTATGTGCTGGCACACCTGCCACAAGGGCTCCTTTGGCTCCCTGGCAGAGTGCTCATCCTGGTGTGGGTCCCTCCTGTGTCCTTGGGGGACTGTGGAGACCATTTGTTAAGGCAGCAATGATCACCCAGGTGCCACAAGCCCAGATCCTGCTGAGGGTGCTGCGGGGTGCTGCACAGTCACAGATGACACTTAGATGTGGGGGGGATGCGGGCACGCTAGAAGGGAGGAGAGGCTGCAATCAGATCTAGACAGGTTACAGGGGTGGGCGGATGAGAATAGGATGGGATTCAACACTGACAAGTACAAGGTGATGCACCTGGGGAGCAAGAACCAGCAGCATACCTACAGACTGGGGAACTACCTTCTTGTCAGTGCAGAGGCAGAAAAGGATCTCGGAGTCGTTACTGAAGCCAAGATGAACATGGGTCAGCAGTGTGGGGATGCAGTCAGGAAGGCCAACCGTACCTTGTCATGCATCCACAGATGCATCTCAAGCAGGTCCAAGGAGGTGATCCTCCCCCTCTATGTGGCACTGGTCAGGCCGCAGTTGGAGTACTGCATCCAGTTCTGGGCACCACACTTCAGGAGGGATGTGGATAACATGGAGAGGGTCCAGAGGAGGGCCACTCGCATGATCGGGGCAGCAGGGCAGGCCCTATGAGGAGAGGCTATGGGACCTGAACCTGTTCAGCCTCCACAAGAGAAGGAGGAGGGGGGATCTTGTGGCCATTTACAAACTAGTCAGAGGGAACCAGCAGGCACTGGGGGAGTCCCTGTTCCCCCAGGCACTACCGGGAGTGACTAGAAATAAGGGTCACAAGCTGGCAGAGGGTAGATTTAGGCTAGATATCAGGAGGCGCTACTTCACGGTCAGGGCGGCTAGGATCTGGAACCAACTTCCAAGAGAAGTGGTGCTGGCTCCTACCCTGGGGGTCTTTAAGAGGAGGCTGGATGAACACCTTGCTGGGGTCATTTGACCCCAGTACTTTTTCCTGCCATGGCAGGGGTTGGACTTGATGATCTGCTCAGGTCCCTTCTGACCCTACTAACTATGAAACAATGAAACAGTGTCAATGCTGGGCACTGTGCCAGCAAGCTTCACCCAGAGATTTCAAAGAGGAATCTAGAGGGCCAAAACCACTTTACCCTGCTGGGGGCTTTCTGAGTTCTCTGCAACAGAGGAATTCCTCTAGGATTTTGCTTTCATGAAAAAGGGAGTGAAAGGGAAGAGCTGGCCTTTTCCAAGGGGTGCCTCAAGTCTAACAAGGCTGAGGGCTCTTCTTTAAGGAACCGGGGTGTTTGTTACAAATTCATTCCATTCAGTACCTGGTGTTTTTCTGTATCAATTTTTTGGAAGCACATGAGCATCAATCTGCCTGTAATTCAAGTGGATATTTAGCTTTCATCTCCATATGTTAAGAAGGAAATAACATTTAAGTGGGAAAGCAATGGCTTAATCTTTATGATGTAGGTTTCTGTTGACTAAGTGTCATTTAAGATGGCAAATGCAATTGTCTCCCTGACAATTCCTGATGTAATTTCCTGGATATCACCATTGGCTTGCAAACTATGAAAACTGATTTCCCACTCATATAGATTTGCTTCATAATATGGTGCTCGAGAGGGAAGTTGCTAAATGCAGTTCTTGTTAGATTTGTTTTCTTCATATTAATCCCATCATTTTTGCAATACTTTTTGTCTGTGACTGGGGTTTGAGCTGTGAGTAAATCTAAATCTCCTGGTGTCTTGCTGTTAAACCATGCAATGTCTGCGTGGAATCCATCCACACTTTTTCCCAGAATGAAATAAATGATAAACATCAGCTCCTCCAAAAGCTCTTCCAGAAAAAAGAATCTGTATAAAACAAAAGATAAAGCCATATGTGAAGGAGCAAGAGAAATGACATGCATAACATGGGTAATAGGCTGCTGAAAGAAGCAGCAGCTTTACTTAAACAAGGATGTGGACAAGCTTGAGAGAGTCCAGAGAAGA